AATGGGGTAAACAGAATAGAATGGGGTTACCAGAGTGGAGTGTAGGTAACCATGCAGAGTGATCAGGGTAGCCAGGCCGGAGTGGAATGATCAGACAAGACTGGAGTGGGAGAGTAATTAACCTTACTGGACAAAGATGACTATACTGGAGTAGTCGACTGGAGTGTGTTAACCAGACTAGAGGGGTGGCTATACTTTGGGGGAGGGGGCTAAATTCTTGTGGGAATGGCAAAACTATCATTTCATCATTGTTTGGGTTTCTTTGAATTAAGCTTTTAATTTGTTTTCAGTATGCATTGTCATATGTTCAGTAGATTACATTGAGGTTCAACTCCAATATTTAAATATGATATATTTTTATACTTCAGGTGATTGATATGAATGAAATCGAGTGAGCAGAATAGAATGGGGTAACCAGAATAGTATGGGGTATCCAGAATAGTATGGGGTAGCCAGAATAGTATGGGGTAACCAAAATAGTATGGGGTAAACAGAATAGAATGGGGTATCCAGAATGAAATCGAGTGAGCAGAATATAATGGGGTAACCAGAATAGTATGGGGTATCCAGAATAGTATGGGGTAAACAGAATAGTATGGGGTAAACAGAATAGAATGGGGTATCCAGAATAGTATGGGGTAAACAGAATGGAATGGGGTAACCAAAATAGAATGGGGTATCCAGAATGAAATCGAGTGAGCAGAATAGAATGAGGTAACCAGAATAGTATGGGGTAAACAGAATAGAATGGGGTATCCAGAATAGTATGGGGTAAACAGAATGGAATGGGGTAACCAAAATTGAGTTGGGTATCCAGAATGAAATCGAGTGAGCAGAATAGAATGGGTTAACCAGAATAGAATGGGGTATCCAGAATAGTATGGGGTAAACAGAATAGAATGGGGTATCCAGAATGGAATGGGGTATCCAGAATAGTATGGGGTAAACAGAATGGAATGGGGTAACCAAAATAAAATGGGGTATCCAGAATGAAATCGTGTGAGCAGAATAGAATGGGGTAACCAGAATGAAATCGAGTGAGCAGCATAGAATGGGGTAACGAAAATAGAATGGGGTATCAATAATAGAATGGGGTAACCAAAATGGAATGGGGTAACCAAAATAGTATGGAGTAAACAGAATGGAATGGGGTAAACAGAATAGAATGGGGTTACCAGAGTGGAGTGTAGGTAACCATGCAGAGTGATCAGGGTAGCCAGGCTGGAGTTGAATGATCAGACAAGACTGGAGTGGGAGAGTAATTAACCTTACTGGACAAAGATGACTATACTGGAGTACTCGACTGGAGTGTGGTAACCAGACTAGACGGGTGGCTATACTTTGGGGGGGGGGGGGGGCTAAAATTCTTGTGGGAATGGCAAAACTATCATTTCATCATTGTTTTGGTTTCTTTGAATAAGCTTTTAATTTGTTTTTAGTATGCATTGTCATATGTTCAGTAGATTACATTGAGGTTCAACTCCAATATTTAAATATGATATATTTTTATACTTCAGGTGATTGATATGAATGACTATCAAAGACGACGCTTTGCAAATAAAATAATAAATTGTTTATTCAACACTGTTACCAGTAAAAGAATTGCTGTATTAGGATTCTCATTTAAAAAAAACACTGGAGACACACGGTAATTTATTTAATTGTATTGCTATATACTATAGTCACTATAAAATACAGATGCATGTACTACAATTATTTGCTGATAACATTCTTGATTTGTTAGCATGAATGAATGAATGAATGAATGAATGAATGAATAAACTTTATTGTTACCGTGTAAAAAAGAGTAGGTTACATAGGGTGTTTGCAACAACAAAGAATTTTTGTTAACAAGACAATATTTTGAAAATAACTAGAATGAATGTACGTAAAATTTACAAATAAATAAATATGTATAAAAAATAAATACCCAAATAAATTATTAAAGAAATCTAATCTCTAATTTTGGTCGCAGCTAAAATAAAGTTTGATATCTCTTGTTGAACTAATTTATCTTGATGTGAAAGTAAATATGTGAAACGAGAAATGTTATTGTCAGCCGGGACTTTAATTTTATGTAACAGTTGAGATCTCGCTGTTCATATT